GTAAGATTTTATCATTTCTTATCCACTCGAGCGGCGTAGTCGGGAGTTGTTGAGCCTCATCACGAAGTCGACCTGATATACCCATAGAGAGTCATATCGCAGTCTTGTAGCCTAGGCCAGTCTCAGTCTCCATCTAGCATTCATGCTATGGCTTGAACACTCTCGCCAATGACGGAGACAATACCAGACACCCTGAAGATGGTACGAGAAGATACTACCTCAGATGGACATCAGGATCAGGAAATCGAGATACACGATCAAGCCGGGGGGGGGCTTAGTTCAGGTGGTATGGGAATGAGCTTGAACTTTTGAAGGCTGGGAAAAGCTGGAAATTTGATCGTTCCCATCGTCCCGGCGCTCAAGGTCCGATTCGGGTCCTCACCTCCGTGTAGAGTCGCCTTCCGAGCACCAGGCGGCAGCACGGTGCCACCCCGCTTCCTTCTCCCCCCCACCCCCCGCGGTGCACGGTGGTGTCGTCCCGGACGCCCGGGCCTCCGAAAACTAGAGAACCGTGGACGACGACGTCTCGGGAAGAAGACCGTCTGCGTGTATGTGTGTTCCGCCGATGCGGCGCGATCTTACGTCGCGTACGGAGAGGTGTCACTCTGATCATTCAAGAGATTGCTACGTACGTTTGCCATGGATTGGCGGCTGGTTGCCCGATCAGTCTTTTGGACTAGATGGTACTGAAAAATATGGGAGATGAGGTAAGAGTCGAATGATACCGTGTAAAGGGGAGGTTGGAATTAGAATCTGAGAAAATGTTGCGCACCAGGGGGAGGCCGGGCCATACTTGTTTCTTTTTCAACTGGACAGTCTGCTATAATGGATGCTCAGCTTAAGCAGTTTGCTCATGTCGTACGGCGAGTTCCTGATTCGACGTTGTCAGTTTTACGTCCGTAATGCAGGCCCGAACAGCGGGCTCGATGACATCTGCCTCACACCCAATTCGTCTTTTTCTTCGCCCTGGTCTCCACACGAGCTATCTCTCTGCACCTTCCACGGTTCTTCTCGGGCGTAAGGCTGATAGCTTGTCACTCGAACTTCGGACACGCCGTGTCGTTGGGCAGCTCCTTTTTCCTTGATGGACTGCGGGATATGACATGCAGCTCTGCAGATCTGCCGCTGTCTATCCCTGGTCTCACTACTCGACGTAGACGTTTTACGGGATTTTCACATCTGCCTACAGGTAGGTGAGACATTTGGGGGCCAAGTCCACCAAGGAAGAATTATACGAGAAGAAAGGGGGTTCCTGCAGGAAGGTTGCAGGAGACAGATGGTTGATTCTTATTTTCTTGCGGCTGAGAGCGGGGAGGGTCTTGGAGGGGGGTGACATGGAAGGGCATGGGATTTTAGAGCCAAGCTTTCTAGGTGGGTGACAGACAAGGCTTTGTTACTCCTATGTGTGTGTGGGAAGCCAATTTTGGTGGTGTGGTGATGTGTTTGGATTCCTTGGCGGGCACTTTTGCGGGCATGGTTGGGAAGCGGTGGTGGACTTCATGTAAAGTTTTTTTTTTTTTTTGCCTGATGCATTAACCATCTGCTCGCTCGTGATCCTGATGGAGACGGACAATTAGGCGACAAGACGTCTTCTCTTGATTGCCCCTATTCTTATGAGATGGTATTTGGTAGACGAACATGTCAGTTCCCCTGTCTTTGCCTGAATTTGTCTGTGCCTTGTTTGAGTCGACGCGGATCCTTGTGTATATTCAAAATAACCCTCGTGGTGCCTCATAAGGCGACTCTCATGAGTGCCCCTTGTCGCTGTGCAGTCTCACTCAGATGTCTACTCCGTGCCTTGTACTTCTCAGACATTGGCGTTTCCGGCATACCTACTTAAGCAATATCAGCCTGTTCCATCTTACAAGGTTCTTTTTAGGTAGGCTGAAGGGTTTCTGGATCTGCAGAGACCAACACAATGATCTTTGATTTCTCTAAACCGAGTCCTGACCAGTGCTAAAATGTAAGAGATGATGGACATGTGTTCGCCACTTCCAAATTAGAAAAACTTAACCACTAGTGTTCGCTCATCTCTGGATACGTATTCATCTCGACTACGCTATAGAATACAAGGGGAAGCCCCGAGTGAAGTAGGATCATGTATGGAAAACGGCATGGCTAGACTTAGATGGAATATACTTTGGTGACTGGCACTGCAAAGGCGATTGTCACGGGTGAGTACAGGTCGGACTACCTCGTGATGAACTTGAACTGGTTCGAACCCATTGGATTAAGACGGGTTTGTCGTATATATAGCGTATTATACAACGTAGAGGAAGAGCCATAGCGGCGGGCTCACATGAACCTCCAAGACTCTGACATGTAGAGAGATTTTCTTAGTCATACGAAACAGTATGATGGCCATGTCGCAGCTACTCATTCACAGGATCATTTCTTCTACCTCTCACTGGCTCCATGTTGGATAATGTCAGGCGACAGACGCAGAGGCCGCACCTTTCAGCGCTCCACGACGTATTTCTAGCTAGCTTAGTCAGAATACGGCCTCTTTATCATTTTATCTAGCCTTGATAGCACGGAAAGCTGACTGTGCTTTGAACATACCAAGCGATTTGACCTCACGACCATCTCATCTTTGACTTCGAGAGTGCATAGGGACGAGAAACATTAAAGGGCTATGTTTCCATCCGAGAAGAAGATGCACGAAATCAATTCAATTCAAAGCACCGCGGCTTTACGTGATGATGAGAAGTCGGAGGGTGAGCATCATCATGTCATCCGAAGTCATCAGTATGCGGTTTCGACTAACACGTACTCTAATGAGCTGAGAGGTGATAATTCATTTGCTGAGTATCTATCACTCCCGAGCTAGATTTCTGGAGGGAAATCTCCTCATTCACATCTTTCAAAGGAGTCGTGAACTATTTAGTATGCGGTTCGGCATGCTGAACCATCGATCTCCCTCCGTCGTCAATGTCCCCCATCATCTAAGCTTGCTCATCCGACACCCACGTGAGCACGACCTTTCCATGAAAACGACATCACATTTACTAAAACCTTTGTTCAAGTGATTCAAGTATCATAGGACGGGAATGGCATGTATTGGCGGAGGATGACTTCAGTTTGCGCAGGCACTGTGGGCGATGGGGGACCCGCTAGCAGTCTTATCCAAAATTTTCTCCGGCTGAGATATCCACATCCGATATGGTGTAGTGGCCAACATGATGCCCTCTCATCTCTTTGAGAGGTTAGGCATAGCCCCGAGTTCGATTCTCGGTTTCGGAATCTTTTGCTTTTGGCGCTCGTTCCTCTGTAAATGATGATTCTAAGTTGCTAGAATAGCATCCAAATGGGTGCGCGAAGTGCATTTCCGCCTCCTTTTTCTGCGTCTGACCGACTACGTATCGTGAACAAGGCCGGCAATCCTTATATCAAACAGGCAGACAGGTGCCTCGTAGGTGTGCAAAGATGTTCATAAATTAACATTGTTTTTCATAGTCAGCCATAAGTACAGTTGCTTTCTAATGAAGCCAGATGCTTGATATCAAGGCTTCAGGATGCCTTCCCACAGCCTGCACGTGTATACTTGTTCCGCGTCAACATCAAGAACCTCCCTCACCCGGTGCTCGGATGGGCTTCTATCGACCAGGTGAACAGGCCGCCAGACGGAATCTCACAATGTGCGTTCATCCCATCGCAGGAGCTTCCCAACCTCACATCACAAAGAAAGGTCAAGGGCACGGATATACAACACAACACACATACACACAAGCATGCATCCATCTTCATGCACCGTTTCCAATTTCCGCCTAACTACCTCCACATCGAAAAACTAACCACCATCTCCACATGCCGCGACATTCATACCACATAACACACCCGGATGGATCGGATCTCCAGACACCAACCATCCATCCCATGACAAGATCTCCAAATCGTCCGTCATCCCCATAAGCCCGCAGACTACCTCAGCAGTCTCATCTTTCCCGAGAAACACAAAGACGGCACCGCCATGCAGACTTCACGTATCCATCACAAGACATACAAAACAGATACACACAGCACCGCCGCCGCGAGGCACCAGGCCCGAGATATTAGACAATAACTAGAAAAGACGTACTCGTAGTTCGCCTTACATCCACACTCAGACTCACATTCTCATCTGCCCCACACGTAATACATAACACGTACACACAGAGACATACGAAAGAGAGGGAAGAGTTGAATATGTGCAATAAAAACTTGAACATTACCAATTCAAAGAGTTATGGTAGAAGAAAGGGTGTTGGGTTCCAGAACGTGGAGTTTAACTCGTCCAACAGGTATGGGAAAACTCCAACACGAAAAAAGGGGGAGGGGGATTGTAGCGGTCGTCGCCCACTAAACAACAAGATTAACAAAAACGCCACCACCTTTCGTTTCGTGTCCCTTTGTCCCTTATAGTCATTTCAGTGTCATTTTAAGGGAGTTGGAACAAATAAACAAAAGCCCTGTTATCCATAAACATGGAAGTAACCAAAGCAAAAAAGCCCGGAAAGACAGGACCCCGTAGACGCCAGTTCGTTACGTCAATGCTCTTCGTCTTCTTCCTCTGCTTCTTCTCCCCTTGCTTCCCCCTTATCATCTTCACTCCACTCAGACAATTGCTGTCTTGCACTCTCCATCCGCCACTGTAATGCTTTGTTCCGTTCATCGTTTGGTTTCGTTCGTTTCGTGGGTAAATTTAGAAATTAAGAAAAGAAAATAGAAGAAAAAGTCGGTATGGTAATACCAACCATTTCAGAAAGAGGCCGTTTGTTCATCAAGACGACTGGGTCTTCTAGTCCCCACGTCCGCGATAGTTGCCCATCTTCTCGATCGAGCTCATGATGCCGCTCCGGGGCCCGAACTCACTCATCGGCCTGGGTCTCGGAAGGCCCTTCGTGGCGGGACCAGCGCTGCCGTTACGCTCGTGAAGGGAACCACGCGCGGCAATGGATCCGGGCGCCTTAAGGCCCGAGCTGCGGCCGATGCTGCTGCGGAAGTTGTTCTCCGTGTGGCTTCTAACCGGGGGACCGGGTGTCCGCGAGGCAACAGGTGTCGGCGCGGGCTTGGGCGCCGGGGTTGGCGGCGGAGGCGCGGCGTTCTGAATTGCCATCATCTCCTCGGCAAGCTGAACCAGCTCGCCCTTCTCGACGCGCTCCTGGGCGAGGAGGTCGCGAAGCTCCGAGTTGTCTCTCTTGACCGAGTTGACGACGGCCTCGAGCCTGTGGACGTCGGCGCTGAGCTCCTTGATGTGGGCTGAGTCGCGGACGGCTTGGGCCTTGAACTCCTCTTCGGCGGCGACCTGGGCGGGATCGACGCGAGTGATGGTGCTGTCTCGGCGGATCTTGTCGTTCTCCTCGGTGAGCTCCTCAATCTTGACCTCCAGCTCGCGCACCTTCTTCTCCCAGCGAGTCTCGTAGCTCTTCTTGAGCGCCGCAACTTTGGTCTCGTGCTTGCCCTTGTAGAGAGCGTGCAGCTCACGTGCCACGCGCTCCACTGCAATCTCGACCTCCTTGGAGGTCGCGGCCGCACCGCCCCTAGGCGAGGAGGGCTTGTCGTCAGTGGACTTGCCGGCGCGGAAACTCGCCAGCTTACTCTCGGCCTCCTGAGCCATAGTCTCGGCGGCCTCGCGTCGTCCCTCACTCTCTGCAAGCTTGGATTCGAGCTCCTCGCGCTCCTGCTGCGTGTGGACGATCTCCTCCTTTACGCTCCGAAGGACCTTTTCCATCTCGCGACTGCTCTTCTCCCACATCTCCTTCTCTTCAGCGACTTGCTCTCGCATCGTCCGCTCTTCACGGGCCTGCTCCAAGCTCTCGCCGACTCGTTTTTCCGCATCGCCCACGGCCGTCTTCAGAGAGGTCACCTCTGCCTCCTTGCCCAGTAGTGATGCTTTGAGGCTGCTAATTTCGGACAGGAAATTCGACTTGAGACTTTCGAGTTCTCTGGGTGTAATGGTCGGGATGCTGCGGGGAGTAGGCAGGGCGGGAATGTCAAAGTCGAGGAGGTTCGACATTTGGCGGGCCGGAGTGGCATTGGGGTTTGCTCTGGAGGGTGAGGTGTTGCCCCGCCTGGACGGCGATTTGTGCGGGAACCGCTGGCTGGCCGTGAAATCCAACAGGTTGGTAGTGTTGCCATCAGAGTCCTGTCCCGAATGCCGCCTTGGAGTCTCCTGCTGCTCGTGCACAGTCTCTGGCCTCCCTCGCGGTGTCATGCCGCTGACGCTCGCGTACTTTGTGGGAGACTGACCAAGTTTCGCGAACATGGTCAAATTGGGAACGGCAGAGAAGGTGCTGAATGCACTCATCATCGACTCGTCGGGATTGGCGAGACTGCTCTGGTCCTCGTAGCCCGCGTGGGCCAAGTCGGGGTGCTCTCCCTCGCCCTCGCCCGCGCTCATCGTGGTCGTGTCACCGCCAATGGTCTCGTCATTCTCCAGCTCCGTATCGTCGTCCTCGAAGATCTGAATAGCGTGCTTCAAGCCCTCGTTGTCGCGCATGGCGTCTTCAAGACTGATTGTGCGTTCGCGAGGCGGAGGAGAGACGGTCGGAGGAGAGATGGAACGTGACGCGGGCTCGACAGACGGGTTGCTGACTCTGATAGGGAAGCGTTTGACGCCGTCAGGCGAGATTACTGTCTTGCGAAGCGGGCTCCGCGCTTGCTTTTCCGTTGTCTCGGAGCCGGCGAGTAGCTTGAGCGGTGAGGGCGCGGTGCCAGACATGACGCGTGAGTGGCGCTGCGGCTTGATTGCCGTCGCCGGCGCAGAGGGCGGCGGCGACGGCGAAGAATCCGAGGGAGAAGGTGGCATGTTCTCCTGGTCTCGGGTGTTGTCGTCTACGGAGTTCGAAGAGGTGATTGTGGTGTTGGTCGTGGTTGTGGTGGTGGAGGAGCTGTCGCTACCGCTCTCATTACCGCCGCTCGTGGTTGTCTCAGTGCGGGAGTGGACCACTTCGCAGTGCTCAAAGAAACCGCGGCTCGTTGCGTCTTCAGTTAGGGTCGTTGCAGTGTTCAGTCTTGATTCGTTTGTCGGTGACAACGGCGTCATTGTGCGCGAACTCCAAAAAAAGCTAGAAGAGGTTTCGTTTGGTTTGCAAGTGTTGGAAGCGCGAAAACTAAGGTGAGGTAAATCGTCAATTGATTGATATTTCGATAGGATGTCTAGCAAAACCCCATTTTGGGCTCGCTTGTGAGATGAAGGGGGTGCGAAGGGGCCCAGGCTTGTTTGCTGTTGACAGAGCAACGACTACCGAAGGGAATGCACAGACAAAGGGGGTTGGTGGGGCTCAGGGTCGCTACAGCAAATTCGCACACCGAGGCTCTTCACCGACGTCACCGACTGTGTGGAAGGTGAGGCTGGCCTCTATTCTCGAATCGCCTTTTCTCAAAGACTCACGCAGGCTGTTGAGGTGAAGCTTGTGCCAACTCCGAGGATCCTAATATAACAACCAAAATCAATTCAGCTATGACCCTCTCCAGCTAGACCTCATAAGTTGCAGCGACCTAGCTCCGACACTTCACGTTAGGCTTTCAGAGTTTCGGAAGGGCACTGCCTGTGCGATGCAGGAAACTGGTCAAATGGGACGCATGTGAAAGTGCAGCAGTACAGCGACGGTCTGGATGAAAGCAATTAACTATGCAAGATAGACAAACAATATTTATATGTGTAAATCCGTTCCTTCATATTTCAGCAAGGGTAGTGCTCGCCTTGCGCGATTGAACGCGCCGCTAGCCAGAGGACAGTGACCACGTCATTTCCCACCACGAATTGAAAAAAGGGGAATTAATTTCTTCCGTGCAGCAAACTCCCGGACACATCTAGTTGACTAGAATCTACTGGTACAGAGCGTGCTCGAACTTGACCGAGCATCGGAGGCTGAACTTCTGAAGTCCTGGCCGTGGACTCAACATCACCATGAAACTTGCAGACGCATGCAACACCACACCGCCGCTGCATTGTCAGCAAATGTCCCCAAAGTCAAAATCACTACCGCGGGCGTGGGGGTGCCAATTTGGTTCGGGTCCAGCAGCAGTTAGCGCGATCTGTGAAAAGTATCAACGGGCCTGACGAGTCAGTCTTGGGTCCCTGCATAACCCGACATCTCCGGGAACAGGCACAGACATTTGCACAATCACCAATTGACGTAAAAAAGACGAGATGATTGAAACGTTGTGTTCATGGACAGCAAAAGAAATGGTATTGAAGGATCCCAAAAGTCAAGATGCAAACTTTTGAACCAGGCCCAGATCCCCTAGAATCCGGTCATATAAAGTACAAAAGTCCCCCGTCCCCGGCACAGTGGTTAAGAAATGGCCATTCCGAGTAAAATTTTTATCTTCTCCCAAAGCAAAAACGCCGAACCGCTTACTTCTGGTTCTCGGGACGCAGAGAGCTGTAGAAAAGATAGATGTTAGCCAGTGATCATCATTGTGTATAAAATCAAGTGCTGTCAAAACGTACCGGACGGCTCTGCCGGCTCTCCAGATCTCAAGGTTGCGGATCTCCTCCATCTCAGCCTCGAACTTCTGGCGGTAGTCCTTCTGGGAGTTGTACTCCAGGGAGCGCTTGGTCTCGGAGCCATCCTTGACGGCGTCGTACAGGCTGTTGAAGACGGGCTTGAGGGCGTCCTTGAACTTGGGGGACCAGTCGATGGCACCGCGGCGGGCGGTGGTAGAGCAGGCCTCGTACATCCAGTCCATGCCGTTGGCACCGATCAGGGGGTACAGGGACTGAGTGGCCTCCTCGACGGTCTCGTTGAAGGCCTCGGAGGGGGAGTGGCCGCGCTCACGGAGAACCTCGTACTGAGCGAGGAACATGCCGTGGATACCTCCCATGAGGCAGCCACGCTCGCCGTACAGGTCGGAGTAGACCTCCTTCTCGAAGGTGGTCTCGTAGAGGTAGCCGGAGCCGATGGCGACACCGAGAGCCTGGGCCTTCTCCTTGGCCTTGCCAGTGACGTCCTGGAAGACGGCGAAGGAGGAGTTGATACCACGGCCCTCACGGAAGAGGGAGCGGACGGTGCGGCCAGAGCCCTTGGGGGCGACGAGGATGACGTCAATGTCCTTGGGGACGTCGACGTGGGTGACGTCCTTGAAGACGGGGGAGAAGCCGTGGGAGAAGTAGAGGGTCTGTACTTAATGTCAGCTTTGAGGCCCCAATCGAGCTGTTTGCTCAATTGTGCGAGAAATGACGCACCTTGCCCTTGACGAGCTGGGGCTTGATGGCGGGCCAGGTCTCGGACTGAGCGGCGTCGGAGAGAAGGTTCATGACGATGGTACCGCGGGAGATGGCCTCATCGACATCGAAGAGGTTCTTGCCGGGGACCCAGCCGTCCTGCTGGGCGTCCTTCCAGGACTGGCCGTTCTTGCGGACACCGACGATGACGTTGAGGCCGTTGTCACGGAGGTTAAGACCCTGGCCGTGACCCTGGGAGCCGTAGCCGATGAGGGCGAGGGTGTCGTCCTTGAAGTACTCCTACAAACGATTGTCAGTTCCAATTGACTCCCTTGCGAGCCCTCATGATGGTTTGTGACTCACAAGAAGCTTCTCCTGGGGCCAGTCGGCACGCTCTGTAGCATCAACGTCAGCAAATCTCTCCCTCTGTTTTCCCTGGCGAGTCATTCGCAACGAGGCAAAAAGACTCGTCAGCTCTGGTCGGTTTCCTTACCGTAGACGTCCTCCTTGTGGCCGGCGAAGTCCATGGTCTTGACACCGCGAGCCTGCTGCTGGGCAGGAGCGACGAAGGCCTTGTTGACCTGAGCAGAGGCGCGGACGAGCTGGCGGGCAGCAACGAAGGTGCGCTGCTGGGTGGCAGGCTTGGCCGCCAATTGGCGGGCCATTGGCGAACGAAGCGCCTTGGAGAAGCTGCGGGAGGCCATTCTGACTGTGTGTTGGGGGAGGAGGGAGTGGAGAGGGTATCCGTACAAGTCAATTGTAAGGAAGAAGAAGGAAGAGATGGATGAAGAAAACAGAGTTTCACTGATGAGAAAAAGGCGTTTGGAATTGGGAAATTTTTTACTGGCGTAGAGACGGGCGAGCTGACCCCCGACTTCGGCCCAGCTTGGTCGTTGGTGGGTTAGCCTGCTGCGTCGTCCTGCTGCTGGCCTGTGCCAATGGTGGGGAAGATGTCTGGAAGCGTCCGGGGTTCGGTAGGGGGTCCTCCAAGTGGGAGAGCGGGTACTGGGGACTTTGGAGAAGGCAGGGACTTTGCTGGGCTCAGCGGGTAACCTCTACTTGGTCCGGTTCTCATTTGACAGCGGCCTTACCTAAGAACCTCGGGGAGCAATCAACGTTATTGCCGGCGAGGCGGGTGCTGTGGAGCAGGGGAGAGCCCACCACACCGACATCGTAGCCCAGTGGCCAGACAGGAGTCACACCAGATGGGCCGCAGGCGGAATCTCACCGACTACTGGGCGCCGGCTACGGCCGTTGACCTATGCCTTCGGCCTCTCTCTGCAGCTACAGCTGTTGACCGGTCGCCGGCGCTGAGCTGTTGTGACTCCTCTCTTGAGGAGCTCTGACTCTTCTTCTCAACTTTCTTGTATGGGGATACCATTATGGGGGAGTCAATCGGCCCGGTGATTGGATTCCATTCTCCATGTTTGCTTCTTCTCCTGCCGTGACACGGCAACGCTGTTTGCATTCCAGCTATGCTTCTACGACCTCTCGAAACTCATCACTTCCTCCCGCTGGTCACCACATCTTCGTCTTCAGTCTGACTTCCGCCTTCCAGAGCGCACCAACGGACCCTTCTGTGCTGCGCCCTCGCTAGTGCTATCTCTAAACTGGGCTTGATGCCTTGCCAGAACCTTGACCTGTTGTAACTTGTAATCTTGTCTCCCCAAACGCCTGACGACGATGCTTGCTTTTGATGCCCACCGACCCTTCAGATACGCATTCCACCCTTCCGCGAACCAGCAGCCTGTCCGTCCGTCTCTGGTATCAAATCCGGGCTGGCCTCTTGTCTCGCCAAAGGGTCATGTCGTTAGAGAAAAGTCCAGCAGCGAGATGGACGCTATCTCCTTGCTGTTGCAAATCTTATTTCAACACACGGTCGTAGCTCTGCCCTTGGACGGTGCCACCGCCCATCGCGGTCCGGACATTGCGCTTGAATCCCTCGCGGTTGAGTCTTAGATCATCGGCAGCCTCCTTATTCAGAGGGTCAGAGGCATTCGGTTCGAGGAACAGGAACTACGAAAAGAGGTCTGTTAGTTGCTTCCCCTCCACAGTCGTGCTTTCTGCTCGTCAACATACTTGGAGTCCGACGATGACCGCGTTCAAGTTGAGAACGGGCTTCCAGTCTTCCCGCAGAATGTTCAGGCAAACCTTGCCCTCCAGATCGATATTAGGGTGGTAGATCTTCTCCTTGCATCGGACTTTTGGCGGCTCGTGAGGGAAGTTTTGGTTGATGTCAAATGTGAAGGTGAATCGTCCGGTCCGGTACATGCCCTCATCGGGCTCGATCGTAAGCGTGAAGTGGAGAATATCGTCAGCGTCAGGGAAGTCGGTCTTCATCGTTGATCCGAGAGATAGTTCCGAGAGATCTGGAAGCAAGCGTGAGTAACGAGATCACGATTTTCTTTCCTTGGCTGGCTGAGGGGTTCAGACCTTTCTGCACACGAAGTTGCGCGGCAGTCACCTTCTTCTTCTTGCCACCCGCAGCGTCGGCATTTTCAGCCTTCTGCTGCTCCTTCTTCTGTGAGAGGCGTTAGTAGTCCCCTTAACCGAGAGGCTCCGGTGGTCACATACCATAGACCAAATCTTTAGCATCTTGTCCGATCTCTGGCGGGGTGTCTGGTGGGAGGAGTTGGTGGGGCGCTCTGTGAGAATGGCGAGACGGGAAACGAAAGCACGCACACGACCTGGGTGGAAGATGGTGTTTTCCTGAACCAGAGGTGTTTGCGCGGACACCAAGCAGTTGAACAACAAGTTAAGTATAAGGTAATCGTCTCTGTCCGGAGTCTTGCGATCTTGGGACGGGAAGGTGCCTAGAGGAGCGGACCAACTGGGCACCAGTCAATGCGGTCACTTTCTGGCTGCGATAAGATAGGGTGGGTGTACTGTTTACCCGGGGATCTGCCGACCCAGAACCACTCTTGTCAGCTTGCCTCAGATCCCGGTCGTTGAACAACTATTGAACAACAGCAATCTGAACAAATGAAGAAATGCAAAGAAGGCCATAAAAGGACGGAAGCACTATACGGCTGGGGTACTCAAAATCCTGTGGGTTTCCAGCGTCCATGTACCATGGTCGGCCAATACCAGCGCGCTTTTATGCAGCCGCCAAGTTGGCCGGAAGCTTCTATTACACCGCTCGATTGCATGCAAAAAGTCTGTGGATCAGATGCATCCAAAAATGATCGCTGGTCTCTGGAGATCTGTCCATGTGAATTGAGAGTGAGAGTTCATGTTGAAAATCATTGTCATTGTCTGATACTAAGCGTAAGGTATTGTATCCATGTAAAACGCCATGAATGCTGCTTAATCGAAACTACTTTTACTGAGCTTCCGCCCACTTCATCAAGAATCTGCCGAGTCCCGTGTCCTTTATTACTCAACACATGCCCAGAATGTAAAACACCAGCGGATTCGTAGCAATGAGCCAAAGCTGGCAAGAGTACAGTCTTCCCTCTGATACACATCCAACACGCGTCGAGAGGTTCGGCGCCTGTTTGGATAATCTCCTCCGTTTGCCTGTTTACCGTCTGGCAAAGCAGCACATGATACCGGTCCTGCCCAAGAACCACAGGAATCCGAAGAAACGGACAAGTGACAGAACGGCAGTAGAGTACAGCAAGAAGCTGAAGTAAGATGCAGTACGTGCTGATGCAGTTTTCTAGAAATGAGAGTTAGTATGATAATGGACTCGTATTTCGGGACCTTTGAACTTACGCCAATGCCGAACGAGTTGAAGTTATCACTCGTAATGACGATGATGAGGAAAGTGTTGGAGAAGAGCCAAGACACGACCAGACCGGTACGGAAAGACTTGTACGAATCTTCGATATCCGGCTTCTCGTTCTCCGGAGTTTCCTTGAAAGGCTCCAGCGCACGCTTGACAGTCGATTCGAATTGACTATCGATATCCTCTTGTGGCTTGTCAATTTCTTCTACCACAGCTTCGTCCTTCTCGCCCTTGCTGACGTGTGCAGAAGGTAGAGCCTCGGTACTGTCTGAACCCTTTGTACCCCACGACACATCGTGCCAGTTGTTGAAGGCGTAGACCATGAGAATGTTGATGTAGGTCGACATGAGCACCAGGTAGTGAGGGAAAGAGGTAAACATGTGCCAGGGGTCGAGGTACATGAAAGAAGCGATGAAGTTAAGACCGTAGATAGTGACCAAGGCGACGAGAATGACACCGGCAGCGTTCGTGCCTCCGAAGAAACTAGCAACGAAGTCCTCACCGGAGTCGAGACTGATTTGCTCGCCAATGGGTTTCTGGAAGGCCTGGACAACCAAGTACATCGAAAGGACCAGGATGTAGGATTGAATGAGACCGAAGACGACGAAAGAGGCGATGTAGGTGTACTTAGAACCCTTGGGTCTGTTACCCAGAGCCAAGATGAACTGCAGAATAACGAAGGCCAGGTAGAGGTACTTAAGAAGGGCGTTGACGATAGGGGTGGCAGTGTCTCCAAACGGCCAACCGCTGCGGGCCACGTCGGGGTCATCGGAGGTGACGGCGGTACCGACAAGATCCATGATAACCGTTGTAGTCAGGTAGTAGGAACCCAAACTGAACCATGTGAACATAACCTGGAGGATGTTGTAGATGAGCTGGACGTGGAAGAAGAACATGCGGATAATGTTGTGGCCGGACTTGTACATGCGACCAAAGTGCATGAGAGAGTACAGAGAGGCAGCGAAGGAACCGTTGAGCCAACGACGACGTTGAGAGATGAACTCGGCAGCTCCCTCGGGAACATCGGTCTCACCCTTGGCGGCCTTGATGTACGACAAGTGCCACTTCTGACCGGCCTTGGCGACCAGCTCGAAGCAAAGAATACGATCCTCGGCCAAGAACATGTTCTTCTTGAAAATGTTCATTCCGTCGATACCCTTCTTGCCAAGGATCTTGGAAAGGGTGTGGTCACCGTGGAAGTACTGCTCCAGCGGGCGACCCATGATCGCGCGGAAGCGGTAGGCGGAGAAGGCACCGGGCAACACAGAGACGTATCCGAAAGAACTCTCGAGAGGCTTATCCAAAATGTTGGAAATCTTGTACTCAAAGTTCTGGACAGCAACCAAGGGGTTGAGCAGCTTCTTGCCGCCTTTGCCCAACATGGCGTGAATCTCACCACAAGCACCACCGAGATCCTTGTCGTTGTAGAAGCCCTCCCACAGCGCAAGAAGCGAGCGAGGACTAGGCTTGGTACCGGCATCGATGAGAATGCAGACTTCGGGGTTCAAGATGCGGCCGAAGGCGTTGAAGAGCCATCTGTGAGAGTTGATCTTCTTGCTGTTCTTCTGCTTCAGGCAGAAAATGAACTGCACAGGAGGTAGGGTGGATGGGCCATCGTCAACGGGGCGGATAAGCTGTTGGTTGGGCGTGACGGACAACTGAGAGGTGTACTCGAAGATGTGAGCGACTGTCTCCTTTCCGTCGACATCCTTCTTCACGACACCATCCTGGTAGATACCGACGGTTGCGAGAACGTCTAACACGGCCTTGTCGGTCTTTTCGATACCGTCGAAAACCAGACAGACGACAATTTTCTGCCAAGCCGGTCCACCCTTGTTCCAGAAGGTAGACTTCTTCAGGTTGACAATGTCGCGGATATTCTGCATTACACCGTGGAGAGTTCTGGAGAGCAACACCTTGTCTTCGTTGTAGTAGGTAATTGCGATGAGGAGCTCGGTGTGTCGGTTATACATTCTCGGGCGCAAATCGTAACCATTCTTGAGAGTGAAGTCGTTGGGGTCGCAAGTGGCGGCGGTGTAGCGCATCTTCATGAACTCTTCGCTGCCGCCCTCAACATCGCGATACTTTGGCTGGACAGCGTTCTTGATGGCACTGGGGACTGGGTAGTCGATGCTCAGGACGGAACCCTGAGTAAGCTTGATCTTACGGGTCGCGTAACGCTTCAGACCGCCACCTTGGTTGCCGGGCTGCTGTCTGCGGGTCCAGCTCTCGTCGGCATCCACGGTGGAGGGGGGTCTGTTTCCATAGCCAAAACCACCAGCATCCGAGTCGAGCTCATTGCTGTAGCCGGACGCGAAAGCTGTCTCGCCAGGAACTGGTGTCCGAGCTCCGGCACCAGGAGCGTATGATTCTGTGAGACTGTATGCGGAGACTGGGCGGCCAGGGGTCTCGCCAGTTCCTAGGTGGCTCTCGTAGGGACCAGGTGCGTGAGGGTCTCTCAGAAGAGATTGGCCGGCTTCGTCAACTCCCTCATCTTGAGGAGGCAGATGGTACTGGGGAGAAGAACCAGGTTAGCAATTGAGACTGTGTTGTGCGGTGAGCTGATGGGAGGTGAAGCTTACTCCTCTGCCAGATCCAGGCGGAAGGTCCTGCATATTGTGGCCGCCATGGTAATCGTTTTCATGCCCCCCGCGGTAAGCCATGATTGCTAGAGGCGAGTTCAGAAGTAGCTGATGCTAGTATGAATGCGATGAATGATGGGAAAGGTTTTTTTTTTTTTCCACTGCTTCGCTGCGGACAAGATTAGGTAGGGTTGATTATATCGTCAGCCAAGGGACTCGGGCAGAGAGGCCTGGGTAGGGTTGATTGTGTTACGCGATGAGCGCGAACAAAGGCGCTGTAGGTTAGAGAGATGTGCGGCCAAGAAAGCCACAACCCCAGTAACGATTGGTGAAGCGAAGGAGGAAGAAAAAGAGAAGGATGTAAAGATGGATGGAGGGCTGGGGGGCAGGAGGAGTAGAAGGGGAGAGGATGGTGATGCAGGATGGGGCAGCAAATGGTTAAAAAAGGGTCCTGACGGGCTGGCGGCCTTGCTTGGTGGGAACCAGAAACCTGCAGCTAGGTGAGAGCGAGCGTGGAAGCGCCAGGTGGAGAGGATGGCTGAGGTAGTTAGGATGGATGAGAATAGCTCTAGGATTGGCCCGACTGGGCTGAGGTGGGCGAAGATGAGGATGGGGACTCGGCAGCGAGCAGACAGTTTCCTTTCCGTTGCTGCAGCAGTGCAGAGAGGGAGAAGGAGACCAAAATTCAAGGACACAAGGTACATGGAGATGGTGCGGCATGAGAAAAGGAGAAGTCACTTTTGCATCCCTCCCCAGCCTGTTTCCCTGAGACGAGGTACATACGAGGAGATGAGACTTGTTGCTGCTTTCCTCCTTCCTGACTATGAATATTCGTACCTGCCTACCTCACCTGCCTTGGCTACGTATGTTGTGCTGTACCGAGCAGGTACTGTCGTTCGTTCTCTCTTTCTTGCTGCACCTTGGGCCAAGGCACGGTAAGGTAGACACAGAAAACCAAGGTACCTTACCTACCCTGGGCTGCTCCATAGTCTGCAGCAAAGTGAAGGAATGGTACCTCGCGTCACTGTCTCTTTTTTTTCCTGGTCCCCTTTCATTAGCTTGCTCCATATTCTCACCTCATGTCAACAGACTGGGGAAGCTGTGGCTTAGCGCTGCTTAGCCCAGGCATCGCGTTTCTGCACGATGAACAACTGAACAACACAACCCGAGCAAAGGCACCAGCACCAGCATAGCATCATCATCCCGTCTCCCGGAGTCGGCATACCCATGGATATCCAAGGGGCCCATTGACGCAAGCAAGACCTCTCCTTGATACGGATCGAAGGGCACTCCTTACTATCTGCTCCGTATGCAGCACATCCGTCACTTAACCTCACCTCACTTTTTGGAAACCTCAACGTCAGTGCACTACTGCGCAAGTGACAGACAACGGATGGGCTGGCTAGGAAGGGCTGCCGTCAGTCTCATCCCCAGGCCAGCAGGTGGTCCTGGTCCCAGTCGTGTGCCAGCCAGGAAAGCCAGTGCCGTGGACCATCGTTAACCCTGTCCCTCCATCTTTTTCTTCCCTCTTGTCAGGTTCTTTCATGATGGATCCTAGCAACCTGGTCGGATGGTCGCGGTT